AAAAAAAAAAAAAAAAAAAAAAATGAAATCTTGACTCAATTTATTTATGAAAGTTAAAAATAATCGGGAGTCGAAATTATATTCACCGATTCTTCTTTCGTAATTCCTAGTTCAACGACTATAAATTTCAAATTTATGATGTTTTTAAAGAAAGTGCGTTGAGATAACACACTTTTCCTTCGCCCGTACGTAAGCTGTTTACCTTGTTGAACGTGCGTATACTTTCAATTTTAATTTGTTGCTAGAAGCGGATTCAAAAGATTTTCGATGTTCGAAAACTCTTGCTTTCGAAAATCTCGGGCTTGATTTACATAGATTGCATACGATTTCGCGCATAAATATGTTTCCTCGAGAGCGGAGTCAACCGCCATTTAAATTAAGTTTTTTTTTTAAAAACTCTTTAAAAACTCTTCTTCTGATGAACTTGGATCCATTACCAATGGATCTATCAAAAAAGAGAAAAAAAAGAATCGATCGTTCATCGTCGTTTATTATCGACAATAAATCCTAATCTCTGTTCTCGATTCAGTATTTAATTTTATCTTCTATTTGCTTTGAATAGACACGGTTAATGTGCGGAATACAGTCGAGCGGCAACGTCAATCCAAATCAAACATCGATTAAATCGTATTAAATCGAGGCGAAAAATAATCACTCGTGATATACTATCGATGCCATTTAAAAGTTTCTCGTAATTCTTTACGATACGGAAATATTTCCAAAAATATTCTATTTCGTTCGTCACTTTAACGAATAAAAATCAGAAAGAAATAACTTTTTTCACAAAGTATCTTTGAAGAAAATATTCTTTTCACACTTAAAAAATTACATCTTCACTCTTTTCATTCCAATTTAATCAAAGAACCGCAACTTATATTATTCAAAATTCAAAACTCTGACGCGTGATTACTATTAAAAATAAATAATAATAATAGAATCTCATCAACCTCGTTAAAAGTAAAAACGAAAGAAAAACCATAGAGAGCCGGTTTGGAAAAACAAAAAAAAAAAAAAAAAAAACAAAAAATCCGTCACAATCGTCCGTCGAGCGGCAGAAGCGAAATCCCAAAAGAATCGCAGATGGCCAGGATAGAGGAGAGCGTGCACGCGACGATAAATTTCGACGTTGTCCGTCGATCCGCGGACACGAATACAGGGGAGGGAATGGAAGGGGGTGGGAAGGGTTAATAACAGAGGCCACGATCGATTCGTAATCCGCGAGCGGCAGACGACGAGGTCGCAGCGGGGCCCGGGACCGTGGAATAATTATTGTGCCTGCAATTAGTTCGTTTACGGTGGCTCGATTTCATTGTCAGCCGGCCGGCCACCGCAAACCGACGATTCCAATCCCTCGTTTTCATTCGACGGTCAATCTCGTCCGCCCTGTCCGAGCCAAAACCCTTGCGCGTCGTGATAAACCGATTTTTTTTTTTCCACCGTTGATTCTTGCCCCCTGTTAAAATCGAAGGAGGAATTTCGACGAACATGTCTCTCTCTTTGGAGGGGTTAAGGAAAGGAAACGTATACTCGTTTTTTTGAAAATCATTGAATTTGAGGGGAGAGATTGGTTTCGAAATTACTCGAATCTGAGGGTAAATATTAAATGTCTTTTTTTTGGAGATACTGGAGATTTTTTTAAATGAAAACACAACTACAAGAATATTTATTTTCGGCGTACAAAAATTCAAAGTACAGAGGAGGCGCGTGGTCCACTCTCCACGGCAACGGTAAATTATCAACCCTATCTGGACATTACGCACCCTACGACCGAGGAGCATATTTTCCACGAGAGGACTCGAGATTCTCTCTATCTCTCGGTTTGAAACAAATCCTCCAGCAGAGTCAACAGAAAGGTTTATCGGGAGGGCGAAGGAGAGGAGGAAAAACGTGGAAGAGGTCGTAACTTTGGCAGAAAATTGCGACTGCCCTGTTAAATTGCGCGTCCTTTATTCGCTTTATTTCCTCCGAGCCGTTTCCTCCTCTCTCCTTCTCGTCTGATTTCCCTCCCTCTCCTTTCTTTCTTTTTTTCTTTTTTTTTTTATTCTCGTCGCATGCAGGAATTTACGCGCGCCACCATCGCTTGATAACAATGTTGGGGTTACACGTCGCGGAGGGGATAAACCTCGCGTCACGTGGGCCGGATGCGAGGAGAAGAGGAAACCTGTTCGAGCGATTCACACGCACCGGGCCGACAACACCATTGATTCAAAGCGAATTCACCTCGATTAAATTACCACCGGCCCCGATCCTAATTACCGTCCGATCGAATTAACCGGATGGAAAGAAAAGGGAGGATGGAGGGGGAGGTAGAAGGGGGAGTTGTTGTCTTTACTTGTTGCTTCGAGAAGCCTCGAGTTTTCTTCTACTCCTCGCTCGAGAAAAAATGATTATTTGAATATTAAATTACGCGTTTTTCACGTTATGAAGTAAGGATACTAAAGTGAGATTAGATTTTATTACGATAGATAATGTAATAATCGGTAGCAATTGGAGAAAATTTAATCCAAGGATTCTTCTTCACGAGCTCGATTAATTTTTAAATTTTTGGATCGAAAATTTGTTTCGAACTTTGTTGCCAATCTTTTCTTTCTTTCTTTTTTTTTTTTTTTTTCCTTTCTTCGATTCGAAGGAGATACGGGGAGGGGAGGGGATGGATTCGGAAACTTTTCGATCGAATTTGGGGGCCGTTGATTATCTTATCGGAGAGGAGTCGAAGGAGCGGAGATTAAGTTCGATTCACAGAAGCGAGTCACGAACGAGGAAAGGTGCGATGACCTTCGAAAAGGGTCATCGCACTCGGTCTGTCTGCCGAGCATAACGGAAGTGAGGCCACTGATTTCGAATAGAACGACCCTCGCGTCGCGGATTCGCCTCGACTAATTCGACTAATTCGACGTCGTAAAAATTTTCATTAGATTCCGATTTTTCTCTTTTCTCCTTCAAAATTACGTATTATTAATCCCTATCTCGTAATACATTATTTAAGTAGTAGTATCAAAAATTGGATCGACAAGCAATTGAAAATGTGTTACTCTACGAAATGTCTCTACGGAGATCTATTAATAATAATTTCTAAAGTTAGGAGAGATAGGAATATTCCAGAATCCATAGTTATGCACAAGAAACACATAAAGGGATCTAATTAATGCGATTAATTATTGTCGAATTACGTAAAATTTGCGAAAAGGCTTTGTACCAAGAAAATACTAAAAATAATCGTTCGATCGAAGCCTCCTTACGAAATATCTCGAAATATCCTCCTCCCCCCAATTATCCCCCTCCCCCCAACAATTACACTCGAGACATCCATTATCCCTCGCCGATGAAACACACGATTGCCGCGCGAGTCCATTCACACACAGTGAACGTCATTCATCCCCGAATAGAACAAGCCTACCCTCCCCTCCTCTCTCTCCTCCCTCCTCCTCCCGTCATTGGAAATTCCGATAGAGAAAAGGACCTTCGAGCGAAAAAAAAAAAAAAAAAACTACTATTCTATTTCCGTCCAACAACAATCCGATCCTTTCATCCCCGTCGCGCGCGCGAATGTACACTTATTTATAAATTCAGAACGAGTGGAGCATTTTAAAAATAACCGGACCGAATCGACAAACAAACTAGCTGCTTACAGCACCCTCCGCACGTAACAAATACGAATTTGAAAACTGAATCTGCTCCTGCTCCTCCTCCCCCTCCCTCCCTCGGTTTATTTATAGCGGATCGTTTAGCCGGCCGTTTAACCGCGAACAATGCCCATTTTCTGCGGCGGACGCAAACGCGCGCTTTTTGCGCCGCTTGTTTACCGCTCGCCCCATTCAAAGTGGAATATCTCATCGAGAGAGAGAGAGAGAGGAGAGAGGAGAGGAGAGAGGAGAGAGGAGAGAGAAGAGAGAAGAGGAGAGAGGAGAGAGGAGAAAAGAGAGAGGAGAAAAGAGAGAGAAGAGGAGAGAGAAGAGAGGAGAGGAGAGAGAAGAGGAGAGAGAGAAGAGGAGAGAAGAGAGAAGAGGAGAGAAGAGAGAAGAGGAGAGAAGAGAGAAGAGGAGAGAGGAGAGGAGAGAGGAGAGAGAAGAGAGGAGAGGAGAGGAGAGAAGAGAGAGAAGAGAAGAGAGAGGAGAGTCCCGTTGCTGCAATCCCCGCATGGAAATGTAAAATTAAATCGCGTTCGAATCGAAGAAGAATCCTCTCCTCGTCTTGGATTCCAATCCCCATCCCGGGAGGAGGGATACGAACGCGAAGAATCTTTTTGAGGTGGATCCTCCCTCGGGTTCGGTTCTTTCGCGGGGTGGTCGAGGATGGTGTTGGAGAGAGGGGAAGGGTGAAGGGGAGAGGGTTGTCGGTTTAATTTGTATTTTAATCTTAATTGGAAACTTGAAAACGAAGGGGTCGAATGTAAATTAATATTCTTGGTCTTTTTTTTTTTGGAAAATGGAAATCTTGGAAACAGTTGTTGGGTATTGGTTCCTTTGAAGTTGGGGAGGAAGAAGAATTTCTTTGATTTAAATTTGATCGGTGGAATGGTTTGTGACTAATATTGAGTTTTTTTTTTTGGAAAATGAAAGATTCTTTGATTCTTCTGTTTTGAAGTTTAAGGATATCGAGAGAAGAGGAAGAAAAAGATTCTATCACTTCTATTGTTTGATCCATTCAAAAATATTTCGTATCTTTTTATCGATAATGTGATTGA